CTCCCCCAGGAACAGAAGGAAGTCCCTGCTGGGCATCAGGCTGTGATGTTAGCCACTTCCTCTGAAACATTCATTGTTTATACTCATTAGCATAACTTCCATGTCATATTCCCTCTTGACTGATAATTTTTTTATTGTATTAGATTTATGCATTTTATGTATGAGTGTTCTGCCTACTTATATGAATGTGTACCACATGCATGCCTGGTCCCCATGGAGGTCAGAAGAGGAACTGGAGTTATGGATGGTTGTGAACCACCATGTGAGTGCTGGGAATTGAACCTGGGTCCTCTGAGAGCAAAACATGTTCTTAACCACTGAATCATCGCTCTAGTCCTGACTGATAAGTAATTTGCAAGTATTTTTTTAAAATTATACTTTGGCCAGGCGGTGGTGGCGCACACCTTTAATCCCAGCACTCGGGAGGCAGAGGCAGGCGGATCTCTGTGAGTTCGAGGCCAGCTTGGGCTACCAAGTGAGTTCCAGGAAAGGCGCAAAGCTACATAGAGAAACTCTGTCTCGAAAACCACCACCCCAAAAAAAAATTATACTTTGAGGAATTCTTAAGATCATGGAAACTTCTCATTTGTTGGCTAATCAAGTCAGCTGCTGTTTTATGCTATTAGATGGCTAAGAACAGCTACCCTCTGAGCTGTCTCCTCAGTCACATGATCACAGTCACATGATCCTACTGTGGCATGGAAGAGGACAGGTTTGAACAACCTCATGATAGGTGACATTATAGAAATTAGAAAACACAGCTGTATTTAGGCCTGGAAACATAGACATCCAGATCTAAGAAAAGAAGCTTTCATAGGAAGCAAACTGGCCTTGGTTGGAAATGATATAGTTTAGTCCACACTTACCCAAAGTAGTCAGCTTGCCCCACAGGGCACCTCTCACTTTATTTGAGATGTGTGATATGTTGTCTCCTCCTAGGGGTGGCTGGAGGTCATGCGGCTTGAAAAGGGTAAAAACTCCACTGTGCACCCAGCAAACCGATTAAGCTTGTCTTCATAAACAGACTTGAGCAGTTCCCTACAAGGGAAAGCACCCCTCTGCTGTGAAGGCTGAGTCAGAGCACCCCTCCCAAGCAGCATACTGTAGAGGGAATGGAGAGCAGGTGCAGAGTGGAGAAGAAACAGGGTCATATCAGTGTAGGCATGTGACTCTGCAGAACCTGTGTGGCCCCAAGCCCAAGGCAAGTTGTTTGAGGCCGAGTTTCCCTTCCACCCAGAAGTTAGGTAACTCTATCTGCTTATGAATCATGGGGACTGCCAAGCACCATACTTAAAGATCTAATCCCTGGGCAGGTGATCCTGACCAACCATACAGGCACCTGAAAAGTTTTGGCTGGAGCTTTGGGGATTGTGCTTCCTAGAAGCATGTAGTTTGAAGTGAATCTCATCATCACCTCAGACTTCACTTCATGAAGTAACCAAAGGAGAACTATGCAGTGGTCTTTGAGGTTCGTAAGAACTCTCTTTGGCCCACATGTTTTTTCAATTGTTGTCTCATCAATTTCTAAGATCTTTTGGAAAAGGCCTGAGTCACCTTTATATTCATCCTCTTCATTCTGTAATGGACCACTCTCTCCAGATATACTAGGATACCTTAATTTTCTAACTTAAGAATGATCACCTTAGCCAGGTATGGTGGCACACGCCTTTAACACCAGCATTCAGGAGACAGAGGCAGATGGATCTCTGTGAGTCCAAGGCCAGCCTGGACTACACAGTGAGTTCCAGGACAGTCAGAGCCACACAGAAAGGCACTGTCTTGAACACCGGGGGGAAAAAAAAATACGAAGATTGATCACCTTGGGGCTGCAAAGATGGCTCAACAACCCAAGTTTGGTGTCCAGAACCCATATTAGGTAGCTCACAACCTCCTATGACAACACCTCCTAGAGATCTAACTCTTCTTCTGGCCTCCATGGACACCCTCACAAATAAAAATAAGTCTTAAAAAGAGCAATCATGATCACTATTCTCCCACATTTGCACCAGCCTTTCTTTCCCTCTCAAAAAAAAAAAAAAAAAAAAGCATAGATCAAAACAAACAAAAAACCAGTAAGACAAGTAACAAAACATAAAGCACCCGCAAAAATCGTGGCATCCATTTTGTGTTTGGGCCTGCCCTGGAGTACAGTTGATATATCCAGTGACACCCTAGGGGAGAAAACTGATTTTCCATTTCCCAGCAAATATCAATTATAAAGAGCTTCTTGGTTAGGACTTTGCATCCACTTCCCCTTCTCTGTGCTGAGGTTTACTCTGGTTTGAATTTATGTCACAGTCTCTGTGAGTTCATATGCAAAGCAGCCTTGTTATGACTAGAATACCTTTTCTTGAAGTCATCCACTTCCTCTAGCTCTTACAATCTTTCTGACTCCTTTTCCACGTAGATCCCTGAGTCTTGAAGAGAGTGTGAGAGCCCACAGAGGCTATCTAGTGAGACTTTACACAGGGTCAGAGAATATGGTCTTGCTTTACCCAGCAGGGCTGCATAATGGGATGATTTAGCCAGGGGTGTGGCTACCAGGTATTTGGAAGGGTCTACACTTGGCTGTATGGTATGCTTTGATCTTGTAAGGGGAAGGTCTTTTGCCTCTCCCCTTGGCATATTATAAAAAGCCCTTTTGAATAAACCTCAGGGCAACTGGGTATTGACCCAGGGCCCTCCCAAAACTATCCTATGCCTCTGTCTTTATCATCTCTTATTATGTTTCTACCTAATATTTCCTCATCCCTCTCTCCTCCCCACAAGAACCCTTCAATAGACAGGAGCAGGTCAAAGCTGGACTCCAGCAGACTCCCACAAGACAGTAGATTTATTTATCTGATTTTCTGTGTATGATATTTTGCCTACTTGTATGTCTGGGCACCACAAATGTGCCTGGTGCCCATGTGCCTTTGGATGCCAGAAGATGGCATCATCTCCTGGAACTGGAGTTACAGGTGATTGTGAACTACCCTGTGGGTGCTAGGAACTGAACCCCAGTCCTCTGTTGGGCTACAGCCAAGCCCAACATGTTCATTTTTTAATTCAAAATTATTAGACAAATAATGAAGCAGAGAATAATAGCTTACCCTAGAATGATTTCTACCTTCCTTAAAGGAATCACCTACCAAATGATGTTCCTCTAGATTTTTTTCCCCTTTCTTACTCTAACATGTAAAACTTACTTTTCCACTTAACCATATACTTCAGATATCAGTCCACTGAAATGACTAACAAAAAATTGTTTTTATTTTTTAATATTTTATTTGGAGGGCTGGAGAGATGGCTCGGTGACTAAGAGCACTTACTGCTCTTCCAGAAGACCTGAGTTTGGTTCCCAGCACCCATATTAGGTAGCTCACAACAACCTGTAACTCCAGTTCTAGGGGATCCAATATCTCTGGCCCCTGTGGACACCTGCACTCACAGTCACATACCCCATACACACACACTCATAATTAAAAGTAACAAAAATAAATTATTTTATTATTATTTGTGTAGATGGGTGTTTTACCTACATGTATGTCCATATACCATGTACATGCCTGGTGCTTGTGCATGCCAGAGGGGACATCAGATCCTCTTAACAGATGGTGTGCTTTGATCTTGTAAGGGGGAGGTTGTGAGTCACCATGTAGGGACAGATAATCAAACCCAGGTCCTCTGGAAGAGAATCCAGTACTTTTAACTACTGAGCTATCTCTCCAGCCCCATTTTTATTATTTTCAATTGTGTATATATGTCTGTGTGAGAGTAAATGATGTGTGCAGATGCCCAGAGAGGTCAGATGTATCTGATTCCCCTGGCGCTAGAGTTATAGACAGTTGTGAACCCCGATATAGGTGTTGGGAACAGAACTTGGGTCCTCTGGCAGAGTGGAAAATCCTCTTAACCACTAAGCCATCTCTCTAGTCCCCAATGTCTGACAGTTTTAACAACCTTATACCTTACAGCATATAGTTATATGGCCTGTAATTTTCTTTTTTCTTTTTTCTTTTTCTTTGTATTTATGTATGCATGTGTTTCTGTGTGTGTCACATTTCTTTTTGGTGTCTCATTTTTTTTTAAAGATTTTATTTATTTATTCATTGATTTAATTATTATGAACACAGAAGAGGGTGCCAGATCTCATTTCAGATGGTTGTGAGCCATCATGTGGGTGCTGGGAATTGAACTCAGGACCTCTGGAAGAGCAGTTAGTGCTCTTAACCTCTGAGCCATCTCTCCAGCCCAAGGTGTCTCATTTTTTTAATACAACAGACAATGCTATAGTAAATATCCATATGTATATGCATACGCCCTTAAAGTATTTAAAGAAAACATATAACAGGAAAAACTGATTATTTAAGGGTTAAATCTGGAGAGCTATTGCCACACTGACTCTTAAAAGAAAGCCTGCAGGACCAGTGAGAGGGCCCATCAGGTAAAACGCTTGCTACTAAGCACCAAGTTCAATCCCCAGGACCCAGGTGCTGGAAGGAGGAACCAACTATCCCAAGTTGTCCTCTGACCTTCACTTGTATGCCATGGTATGGCACAAACAGTAAATGCAATTTAAAAGTAATTTAAAGTCTATAGTTCACACTTTCACCAACACCATGAAAGAACTTGTCAATAATTGCTGTTAACAATTTTGGCTCCCATCAGTCTGGTTACAAAAAAAAAAAAAAATCAGAACTCAACACTCAGAGGCAGAAGCAGAGGGAGCTCTGTGATCCTCATAGTGAGTTCCAGGTCAGCAAGGCTATGTAGTGAGACCCTGTCTCAAAAGAACAGGGACAAAAAACAATTAGTTTTGGCAATGTATTGTTGTTTGCTTTATTTGTTTTTGCTCCTGTTAAGTTGTGCACATTTTGATGTGTTTATTGTCTTGGTCCATCAAATAGTAGCAAGGCATTTTGCAGGTGATTGAGGTTTCTCTGGCTGTGATTTCCTGGAAGGATGTTGACTGTTTTCACAAACCAAAGTAACATGTTTCCTGTATGTGTCATCCACAGCAAACAACGGCATAACAAACTCTGGAGATCTCATTCAGATAGTGACCTCTCAGACCACCACGAACCCATCTGCAAACCTGGGCTCGAGCTCAACAAGAAGGAGATGACCACTTCAGCAGACCAGATTGCTGAGGTGAAGACTGTGGAGAACCTTGCAGCCATGCCGCCTGTCTTTGTGGAGCACGTGGCTCCACAAGATGCAAATCAGAAAGGGCTTTGTACCAAAGAAAGAGTCATCTGCTTGGAGTTTTCGTCACAGGAATATCATGCCGGACAGATTGAAGATGAATTAAACTTAAATGACATCAATGGATGCTCATCAGGGTGTTGTCTCAATGAATCAAAATTCCCTCTTGACAACTGCCATGCATCTAAAGCCTTACTGCAACCTGGACAGGCCTCCCAAGTGGCCAACGAGTTCCCAGACTTAGCAGTGGAAGATTTGGAGACGGATGCTCTGAAGGCAGACATGAATGTCCACTTACTGCCGATGGAAGAGCTGACATCGCGACTGAAAGACCTCCCCATGTCACCTGATCTGGAGTCACCAAGCCCCCAACCCAGTTGCCAAGCTGCCATCTCCGATTTTAGTACAGATCGTATTGATTTTTTTAGTGCCCTTGAGAAATTTGTAGAGCTTTCTCAAGAAACCCGGTCTCGATCTTTTTCCCACTCAAGGACAGAAGAACTAGGTGGAGGAAGGAGTGAGGGTTGTCGCCTGTCAATGTTAGAAGTGACGCCTTCCGAAATGGCAGCTGATGACCAGAGAAGCAGTTCTTTAAGTAATACTCCCCATGCATCTGAAGAATCTTCAGTGGATGAGGACCAGTCAAAGGTAAAACTGCTTTATGGTTTCTGTTGAATGAAATTCTCACCAAAGAAACTACTGAAAATTCTGTTGTGCTAACCTCTTTGGGAGGGTGGGGGCGCTCACTCTTGCTAAACCAGCAGTGTTCCACTGAGCTTACCACTGGCCCTAACTTTTTTTTATTATTATATATATGTGTTGGCATATTCATATGAGAGGAGGTGCCCAGGGAGGTCAGAGTGATCGGATTCCCCTAGAGCTTGAGTACGGGGGTTGTGAACTACCCACCATAGGTGCTGGGGACTGAGCTGTCATGTCCTGTACATGCTCTTAACCACTGAGCCATTTCTTCAGCCCCTTGACTCTCGTGGATGTTAGTAAAGGTTTCACTAGTAAACAGTGAAACAGTCGAGCTGAGATCTTCCTTTAACACGTAGGGTGCTTTTTTTAAGGATTTTATCTTTTCAGGCTTTGGTGTCATTTTAGATTTATTTTATTTTATGTGTATAAATATTTTGCCTGCATGTATATGTGTGACCACATGTATGCCTGGTGCCCACAGAAGTCAGAAGAGGGCTTCAGCTCCCCTGGAACTAGAGTTGTAAGCCACTGTGTGGGTGCTGGGAATCAAACCCAGGTGGTCTCCAAAAGTAACAAGTGCCCTTAACTGCTGAGCCATCTCTCTATCCCCTGTTGGAGCATTTCTGAAAAGGGTAACAAAGGTGAGAATTTGTCAAAACAAATGTCCTGACTAAGGGGGGGGGTCCTTTCTGTGGACCCCTGGGGCTCAGATCAAATCTCAGCAATGATGAAATGCCACAGTGCTGCTTGAGTGAGATCTATCTCTGAGAAGATGGTTTTATTTGAGAAACATTTTGTCTCAGAAAGTTTACAAGCTAAACACACACGAATAGTTGCTGGAGTAGCAGCAGATGCCCATGCTACTACATCAGTGATGCTGTTAATAACATTTATGAACTTATCTCCAGTCCTGTGGTGTTCAAGAGTCAAGAGATGATTTGGGAGAGTGAATTTGGGAGCAGACAGTATCCTAAGATTCCTAAGTGGCATATGATTTGTTTTGTTTTGTTTTTCAAGGCAGGGTTTCTCTGTGTAGCCTTGGCTTTCCTGGAACTCACTCTGTAGACCAGGCTGGCGTCAAACTTAGATATCTGCCTGCCTCTGCCTCTCAAATGCTGGAATTAAAAGCATGTACCACTATGCCTGGCAATATATGATTTCTTATGAACCATGTGAGAAGTAGGAGGAAATACCATAGATGATCAAAAAAGTTGCTTTGTTTTGTTTGTCTGTTTGTTTTGAGACAAGATCTTAGATTTACTCTAACATACAAAACTTCTAATAATCTTAATGGACCTGATTATATTTTTGTAATGTATTTATTTTGCAGTACTGGGGATTGAACACAAGGCCCTGTGTATTGCAGGAGAGTGTTTTACCAACTGAGCTTGGTACTCACAGTCCTGGATAGATACCTGAGATCTCATGGTTTCTACCTTATTTCATAGGTTCTTTCTTTTCCTCAACCACCCAAAACAACTCTTACCTCCACTTCTGTCTTCTGCCGTCATTGTGTTTCTATGGGAAGTCAGAAGTTTAAGCTCTCTTTATGGACCAGTCAGTGCAGTAGCAGACAGAAATAGCCTTCCCACTGAGCCCTTGGTCATATGAGTACTCCTTCCATGGCCGTGCACATACCAGGCTCACCAGTTCTGCCAAGATGTCCTGGCAGATTTCTCCCAAAGGCAAGACTGACCTTGTTAGTTTATACCAACTAAGACTCTTTGAAGGAGAAAGACCAGCACAATTCCTGAGGAAATATTGTTTTGAAGTCTTATATAAAATGTTAACAAATGCTTTTAATCTCAGTACTAGAGAGGCAGAGACAGGTAGATCTCTTTGAGTCCAAGACCTGGTCTATGCAGTGAGTTCTGTCTCAAAAAAGAAAGGGCTGGAGAAATGGCTTCTCAGTTTAGAGCACTTGTTCTTGCAGACCTGGGTTCGATTCCTAGCACCTATGTGGTTGCTCATAACTGTTCATAATTCTGTTTCCAGGGGACCTGATGTCCTCTTCTGCCCTTTACAAGCACTAGATGTGCATATATGGTACACATGCATGCAGGCAAAACATACACCTCACATAAGACTTAAAAATCTTCAAAGAGGGGCCTGGAGAGATGGCTCAGAGGTTAAGAGCACTGGCTGCTCTTCCAGAGAACCTGAGTTCAATTCCCAGCAACCACATAGTGGCTCACAACCATCTGTAATGAGATCTGGTGCCCTCTTCTGGCCTGCAGGTGTACATGCAGACAGAAACACTATACATAATAAATAAATCAATCTTCAAACAAAAAAAAAAGAAAGAAAAAGAAAAAAAAAATCTTCAAAGAGGCCGGTAGTGATATACTAGTGCCTTTAATCCCAGCACTAGGGAAGTAAAGCAGGCAGACCTCTGAGTCTGAGGCTATCCTGGGCTATAGAGTGAGTTCCAGGACAGCCAGGGCTACACAGAGAAAACGTGTCTCAAAAAGAAAAAAAAAAAAAAAAAACTTAAAAGAAAAAGAAATTTAGAGATTGTGAGGTCAGATACAAAGCAAATTCTCCCAGCCAGAAGGAATGATGATATGGTAAAAGCTAATGAGAGAAGGGGGCAGTAAGTCTTCAAATCCGACACCAGATGACAGCCACAGCCATCTTGCCCTATCTTACACTAGGCATATTGAAGGTGCCACCAAGCATTTGAAAGAACTGTGGTCACCACTGAATAAGTTCCTATCACATTAGAAGTTAATAAGCCAGTTAGGAAAGGTTCCATTCACCTCTTCATAGTCTAAGTCCTGGAGGCTCATGGTACTATGAAAATATGGATTATAAATCCCCATAGCTATTTGGAAATTTTCAAACAAAGTCCTTGATTAAAATGTTGCTTGAGTAAACAGAACAAAATCTAGTAAGCAGTGATATACCTCATAATGAACTTTCTCCTGGTGTTAATGATGAATCCTGTTTTGTTTCCATGGTCTGACAACACAATGAGCCTATGCACCAGGCACCCATAATTTATGTTCTCATAGATAGACAGGCTGTTTTGGATTAGGGGTTACTAAGTGAAATACTAGCCACAATTTGCCATAATCATCTCACTATTTTCTCTTCTTAGGCAGTCTCAGAACTTGTCAGCCCAGACATCATCATGCAATCTCACTCAGAAAATGCAATTTCAGTCAAAGAAATTGTCACTGAAATTGAGTCCATTAGTCAAGGAGTTGGGCAGGTTCAGTTAAAAGGAGACATACTCTCTAACCCATGCCATACACCAAAGAAGAACACCATCCAAGAGCTGCCTCTGGAGAGGGCACAGGCACCTGAGAACAAAGCTGGACATTTGGAGCAAGACGAGCGTTTGTATGCAGACCAGCCTGAACTAGCCGAAGAATCAGGGAAGTGCAACTCAGAAGGCTGTCCAGCCACACACCCATCCACAGTAGACTTGGAAGAGGAGGAACCAGGCGAGGGAGAACAGGACTGGGGCCCAGGGATGCAGCCTGGTGCCAAGTGGTGCCCTGGGTCTGTGAAGCGAGCCACCCTGGAGTTTGAAGAGCGCTTGCGACAGGAGCAGGAGCACCATGGCACTGCCTCTGCAGGTGCCACGTTATCCAATCGCAAAAACTCTAAGACTGACGCTTCTGCAGCAGACCTAATGCCAAAATGGAGAAGCGATGAAGCCACCCCAGAACATTCAGTTCCCCTCCGAGAAGCAGAGATGAGCAAGGGGAAAGGGAAACTGAGTGGGTCTGAAGCTGGACCACTAGCCCATGCCGAGCATAATGCCACTGCTCCGGCCCCTGAGCTGCTGGAAAGTCATCCCTTGCAAGCACCTCAGGACTGCCGAGGGTCAGATACTGGAACTAAGAAGCAGGAAGGAGACTTGAAGAAGCAGAGGACTGTGATTCCAAACCAGGGATTCGAGACACAGGCCATCCCTCTTCCCCTTCCCAAGAGAATAGAAATCATCGAGTACACACAAACAGTTACATCACTTGATCCCACTGAGCCAGGAGGTGAATCAGCACCCAGCAAAGAGGGTGAAAAACAAGGGCTGAGGAAGGTGATGGTGGACAGGTCTGTCGCTATGTTTTGTGCGCTGGATGAAAATCTCAACAGGACTCTGGACCCCAGCCAGGTTCCTCTGCATCCCCAAGTGCTACCTCTGCCTCACTCTTCCTCAGAGTGTGACAGGCTCACTCACCCACCCCCCATGCTAAGCAGCCCTGAAGACCAGGGAAACAGGCCTTCAACGCCCTTGGAGAAAGCCGCACCTTTGGTCAGTTGCAGTGCCCACACAGCCCCCGCCCACGTGGACTGCCTGCATCCCCAGTCTGTGGTTCACCTGGAAGGCTGCACAGAGCAGAGCAGCACCACAGACCGCGAGCCGTCCACAGAGTGGGTTGGCTGGTCAGGCGGCCAGCAGGGCTTCCCTGCAGGTAGCCGTGGAATGGCACACAGGTTCTCTCAGTTAAGTAACGAAGACCTAAGTTTAATTAACAAACTTGGTGACAGTGTTGGGGTGTCACAGAAAAAACTGGACCCGTCGTCACCTGAAGCCTGTCGAATCCCACATAGCTCTAGTAGTGAAAATATAAGAAATCTCAGCCACAGCCCTGGTGTAGTGAAGGAGCGCACTAAAGAAATTGAGTCTCGAGTGACCTTCCAGGGAGGGGTCACCAAAACATCACAAATGAGGCGCTCAGCTTCTCTTGCCAAGTTGGGTTACCTGGACCTTTGTAAGGACTACTTAGCAGAGCGAGAGCTTGTCTCCTCGGAATCCCCTCATCTCAAATTGCTTCAGCCCTTCATCAAAACAGACTCAGGCATGCATGCCTTGATGGCCCAGGAGCCCTCAGAAAGCCCAGGTGCCCACCAGAACCCACAGCCCACCAAGTATTTCGTAGAGCAACTCAAAACAACAGAGTGTATTGTGCAGAGCAAACCAGTGGAGAGGCCCCTTGTGCAGTATGCCAAAGAATTTGGGTACAGCCAGCAGTGTTTGCTCCCTAGGGCAAGACCAGAATTGACTAGTTCTGAAGTAGGCCTTCCTTTGCTACAGACACAGGGCCTGCAGTGTACAGGCCCCGCTCCAGGGCTGGCCGTGGCACCCCGCCAGCAACATGGCAGAACTCACCCCCTTAGGAGACTGAAAAGAGCAAATGATAAAAAACGGACAACCAACCCCTTCTATAACACCATGTGATCCTGAGCCTGCACACACGGTTTTCTAAGAAAAATGTTTGGGAAGGGCGGTGTGATATGTGAGGAACGTGCACTTTATCATTAATTTTATAATATTTTGTCATTTTACTGTTCCTGGCTCATGCAGGGTTTGAGTTTTTCCATGTGTGTTATGTGCGTGCGTGCGTGCGTGCGTGCGTGCGTGCGTGCGTGTGTGTGTGTGTGTGTGTGTGTGTTGATTTGGATGGCAAGATCATTTTATCATTTTTTATTTTTAAAAAATTCAAACCTCAAAAAGATCTTTTTCAAAGAGTACCTTTATCAAAGGCAAATCGCTGTTTTTCAGTCACGGCCACCTGTCACTTTCTCATTTGCCCTCAGAAAAAAACACTGCTTGACTGAGGGAAGGGCAGAGGGCAGGTGGCCCTGAGGGGGGGATTGGAGAGGCCTCACCAGGCCACAGCGGCCTGCCCACTGCGGGCAGGAGGAGGTTGCTGCTCCGGCCTTCCTCTCCAGCCCTTTTTGGAGTTCATGAAGTTGCGGTTTCTGCTCTGCCTTAAGAGGCAGTTGAGACTCCGTTTCTTCTGGTATCCCAGAACATATCAATCATTATGAAAAAGGGATTGGTGATTGGCCTGGCGATAGAATTCTATGAAGCAAATAATTTTCCCCAAGAAAACAATCTGAAAATCTAAGAGGACCCTAAGCCAAACTCCAGGTCGTCAGGAGAGAAGCGCATTGAGAGAGGGTAGAAGCAGAGGTGGAAAAGCGGCCCTGAGTGACTTGTGGGTTGGTGGGGTCCACACAGGTGGGCCCGGCCCCTCTGCTAGGTGACAGGCTCTGCCACAGGCTTGAAAAACAGCAGCGTCAGTGTGTTCTTGTCAAATGAATTCATATGTGGGGTTTTAACCCTTCCGTTACTTGAATATTCTGTGGGCCTTCTGAGTTGATGGCCATAGTTTTCCAATTCATTTTCTTCTCTCTCGCTGTTTTCCCTCTCGTGCCCCTTTCTTAACTTCACAAACTATATTTGAATTGTTACATTGAATACATATAACCTATTGAACACAGTCTTCTATGTTGGCCCTGTTAACACTTGACCGAAGTTGGTTTTTTCCTCATTTTCCTGGAAGGTTTGTCTTCTCTCTACAGTTCATACACAGTATTTATGTACATAATGTCACTTTTTAATGTTTTGTTGTTGATATTGTGGGGTCTTTTTTGATTTATTCTTTTTAAGGAGTAGAGTTGCAACTGGAAAACAGACACCAGAAATAAACTGATAGTTGTTGATAGGAATCTACACAGTATATTGATGGTGACTTTAATTGTTTTAAATGGAAACTTCTAATTGCCAGCTCCTGCCAAATTATGCACTTCCTCTTCAGAAGCCCTTGTAGGCTCCCGTTAGACCCCCCGAATGCTGACGTCTCGGAACATTGTTTGCCAGGATTGAAGCACAGCCAGGCAATGTGTGTGCATTGCTCAAAGGAGCCTCCTGTGGAGCTGAGACTTGGGGCGGCTCAGCCAAGGCACAGATTCCATTTAGGGTCCCATTGCTTTGTTGTGTTGTGATGATCTTTAACACTGGAGGACCTGCTGTAAATAAGCCTCTGAGAGTCTTCGAGAAAACGTCTGACCTGAAACAAATAACCCAGTAACCCACCATAGCGCATCAAAACTGTAAAGGTCCACACATTTGTTTCCTGCTGGCTTTTGTTGATGTCCACGTTGCTGAGGATTGTGTAGGTAAGAGCCAGGGACTCAGGTTTTTAACTTATCACAGATTATCATCAGAGACAGAATCTGGAGGGAGCAGGTAGTAGGATACAGAAAAGGGAAACAGTCCATCTTCAGAGCTGTGGGTCCAGTTGCCATACTAAAGCCATGGTTGGGTATGATGTCACTGCCAGGAGGCAGTTAGAGGCCAGCTGCTGAAAATGTATGGTGGAGGAGTTATATGTACCTGTGCTGTCGTTCGGTAGTTTCTTTAAATGTCACAGCTTTGTGAGTCCTGTGTTGTCTCATTAGGTGGTGTGTACCAGTGTGGGGGGGCTTGGGAGGCAAGATGATGAATTCCAGGGCTTTCTGCTAAAGAGCCCTGTCTACCAATATGATGGTAGGACAGGAAAATATGGTAGAGTAAGGAATATCTGCATGGAGGTTGAGAGAGTGGCATCACCAAAAAGTAGTAATAAAAGCTGGGTATAGTGGCTCACATCTGTAATCTCAGCACTTGCTGAGGCAGGAGGATCACTATGAGTTGAAGGACAGCTTAGGCTACAGAGTAAGACCCTGTGTCAAAAAAGGGACATCTATATGCCACATATTATCAACAATGGGCACTATCCTCTCATTTGCCGATACAGAACGCATTTCTCACAGCAAAGACTAAGAGAAAATCCTCTAATGCTTTTCTTTTGTGGGGGGAGGGGAGATACCTATTTCTATTTTAAAAAGTGGAAGAAACCATCTTGTGCTGTCTTCCTTCTTAATTACATTTCTTATCATTTAACTCACCTGCTTAGGTATCTCACACAGGATCTATAATTCAGCTATGCCAAAACGGTCTTGCCGGCCCCCCCAAACCCCCACATTTGGGTGTTCTTAAGTCATGTTCATGGCTAAGGCAGGTACATAATAAGCTTCAACTTTGGATAATTTTAGATAGCCTCTTTGCCTTTTCTGTTCGTGGAAAGTCCAGACCTAACTGGTGAACAGCTAAGCAGGAAAAACCTTGACCTTGACCAGCGCTTCGCCTCCTGCTCAATCCTTCCTGTCTTTACTGTTTTTAAGACCACTGCAGTCCTGTCAGTGGTCCTGGAAGAGTGTGTGAGTGAGCACACATGTGAGCACTTCCACAGGCTGGGCTAAGAGTTCAGTGCCTGGGATGATGGCCCCGAGCAGACAGGACTAGAGCTGTAGTCTGGGTGACCGGGAAGTAGGAGAGGAGCCCAGCCAGCTGTCGGCTTTTAGAAACAGCGGCAACCGAGCGGGGAGCTCTCACACCCACCGCATCTGGTTGCCTCTTGTTCTTCTTAACACGTTTGCTCCTGCATCCTCACCTCTTCAGGGTCTTTAGCCTTTGTCTCAGCCCTGGGTCCTCCTTTCTCATTTTGGGAAGTACCCAGAGCTCCAGGGACAGCCTGGGAATACGTCCCAGGTTCTGAGGCCTCCTGCTCCCGAGCCTAGATGCCTCATCTGAGAAGTTTCATTTAGTAAAAAATGTTCTGTGGGAGTTGGGTTTTTTCTAAGAAAGCATTATGCAAAAAGTTTTAAGGGCATTTTAAAGAAAAGCCATTTTTTGGGCTTTTTCAAACTATTTGTGGATACTTTGTTTACTTTGTGAGTATTAAAATATGCATCATCTTGGTGGCTACTCAGGCACCGAAGCCATGTCTGTCCTGTGAGTCCTCCCCCAGAGAAATGCCATATTATTATCAGCCCCTGTGGATAAATGGGTCAGGTGTGGCTGATCTCCGTGTCCCGCACTCATCCAGCAGTCTTTTTTCTCAGTGCTGGTGTGTCGTCATAGTGATGATGGTGATGGTGAATGGGTAGTATGGTGGTTTCATTTTCAATTTTCGATGGTAGACAAGGTGACATTTTCATTGTCTCAGCACCAGTCCAACTTAAAGCATCATGGACATTGTTATCCCTTCCAGACTAAAAGATCAAGCATGTATTGAACATAAGTGTATGTGTTGCCTCAACTCATCTGGCACCCATATTAGGAAGAGACGGGCCACCAGAGCAGGAAACTGCACACTCCTTTCCCCCAGGCTTTGGGATTTCTTGATGCCTTGGAGAGCTATTGCAAGGTGCTTCTGTATTGCTCCAGCCTGAAGCGGAGGTGACTAGGCCTAGCTTCTGCTATGAAGAGAACCAGCCTCATCTCGGTGTCCCAGAGATCTAGGATGGGGTTTCTAAACTGGAATCATCCCTTATCAGCTTGAAGAGCCCCCTCCCCCAAAAGTTATATGGCTGGGGCTGCTATCTGTCTTCACAGTGCCCTGCCTACAGAGAGCTGATACCCCAAATGGAAAACTGAGGAACTAACCTGATGTTTCCTAGTCAGTAAGCCCACTGGGAATTGTTTGGTTTTATGGGGGTTTTATTGCGATTTGTTTGGCATAGCTAAAGGTGCCTTCCCCTCCCCCTTTTTTAAACTTTGTTTTGTAGGACTTGTTCAAAACACAGACAAGTCCAAAAGACTCGCACTGACTGTTACCTTTGCCCAGGCTACCCCAAACTTCTATGCTCTCATTTTATTAAATAAAAGCAGGTGCTCCCTGGAATCTCTGGGACCTTTTTGAGGCATTTAAAGCAGAATATAAAGAGTGGTCTCATCTCCTTCCTTCATCTTCCTGGTGGTTGGGATGTCCCACTTGTACCATAGTTGTTTTTATTATTACTGATGTGCTCCGCTGTTTATAAATGTGAACTTGTGCGCAGATGTGCAGACTCAATGTTCTTGTTACAGATTGAATAAATTTTTATTTTGAAGACAAAATGTGTGCTTCAAATGCAACAAAAGAAGAGGGTGCTGGGAGGGGGGTTGTTTAGAAGAGAACACTGACAACAAACAGAATAGCGTTCACACATTCCAGTCAAGCACACATTGAAGAACTATAGAGTGGGGAATAAATACACACACACACACACACACACACACACACACACTTGTTTGTGTGCATGTAAATAACCTGTGTTACACAAAAGACTGACTAGAAAATAGGGTTACCAAAAATTGCAGACAATGAGGCACCAATCAAGTGACCAGGCTGGGGACTTGGCTAGTCAAAGAGGTACTCACCAAAGCTGTCACCTGAATGTTAGAATGAATAAGCAAATTCTTCCACCATCTGTGGTGAAGAGTGACTGGTGTGGGACATCTGCGGTAACCTGCCTTAGCAGAGACCAGATTGTTGGGTGACTGACCTCACTGGACATTAATACAAGTTTTCAGCACAGTGAAATCTACACTGGGCTGCAGAGATGGGTGAAGGGCTAAGAATGCACATAGTTCTTCCAGCGGACCTGAAAGAACCCACATAAAGTGGCTCATAACTCCAACTCTCCTCCAAAGATACCCATGCTTACTGAACCCCCAGATACACATAATTAAAAATGTTTTTTTAATATACATCAAGGGTGCAAGAGAAAGACAGAGCCAATGGGTATATTTGGCTGGGTCCTGCCTTTTCACAAACCCACGATGAGATGTTTAATGGTATTATTCATCACATCCAAAAGAACACTACTATCTAGGGAAAGCTCAGGTTTTACTTGCCCAATTGCCAACCAAACTTGCTGATGTTTCCAAAGAAAACTGCAGCCCACTTCTTTCTGAATCAGACAAGTCAGGTGAGTGGCACACCATTGTTCTCTAGTGGGTGTGCATGGTAGTGAAGCTAGAGTCACTCACAAAATATTCCGGGAGTGCTCAGGCTTCTGACCAACCTAAATATGTTCAGTCTTGGCTTTGTAGTCAAAGCAAATGGACCAAATCATGTCTCATTTGTCAGGTCTCTTTCAGAAAAAGATCATAAAATGAAATCCCACTGATAGTTCTGTGGAGTCACCAAGCCCAAGTGGCTTCTCCCTCTGACTGCTGTTTTGTTTCTAGCTTTACGATGTTGGATGTTTTTGCTCTTTTTGGAGGCCCACCACCCATCTCCCAAATAAACCACACAGAGGCTCATTCTTATAAATGCCCGGCCTTAACATGGGCTTTTACCTTTTTCTGTTTCTGCATATCTTTTTTCTTACTCTTACTGGCTGTGTGGCTCCTGAAGTCCTCCTCCTTCCTCTCTCGTTCCTTGATCTTTCCCCAGATTTCTCCTTCTATTTATCCTCTCTGCCCGCCAACCCCACCTATCCTTTCCCCTGCCTTGCTATTGGCTGTTCAGCTCTTTATTAGACCATCAGGTGTTTTACACAGGCAAAGTAACACAGCTTCACAGTTAAACAAATGCAACATAAACAAAAGTAACACACCTTAAAATAACATTCTCTAGCAGCTTTATATGTGTGGATGTTTTGTCTGCATGTATGTTGGTGCACCAAATGGGTGTCTGATACCTGTGGAAGCCAGAAGAGGGTGTTGGGTCCCCAAGAACTGGAGTTAAACATGGTTGTGAGCTGTTGTGTGGGTTCTGGGAACCAAACGTGGATTACCAGAATGTTAATAAGTGTAAATTCCCCAGAAAAAAAATGTGAGTTATTATTATCATGAAGGAGCAACTAGTCACTTGAGTCTTGTCTGCCTAACCATGTACCTGGAATCTTAAGGTAAAAGACTCCTTCCATCCTCATGGTTACACACACACAGAAAAAGAGAGAGAGAGAGAGAGAGAGAGAGAGAGAGAGAGAGAGAGAGAGAGAGAGAGAGAAGCCCTCAATTATTTCTGTAGCGCCAACAATTTCTGATTCTG